TGTTGTTTTTACAATTCTGATTGGTCAATCACATGATTTCATATGAATACCACATGATTACTATTAAAAATGATCTAGGAACACCCTACCCTTAATTGTACTGATATTTATACCAAAACTTTGCTTGAAGATATCTCTGCAACACTTGATCAAAATTGAACTTTTTTTTATTTGAATTCTACAGATCTGTAGAATTCAAATAAAAAACTTTATCAATTTTGGTCACGCTGATATATCTTTGATCAAAGTTTGTAAAAAATTTTAAAATGCCTATATCACTTAATAACAATCAACGGTCTCCCTTGGAATTATACTACCATTCTTTATTATACCGGCATAACCCCACAAATTTGGGTTTGTCCATAGTTTGTCCACCATCACCATGCTGTTTTTTCGGTCGGGTTTTTAAAAAACCCGAACCGTCCCTGAGGAACACTAGACGTGATGAAAATATTAATAAGTATTATGCGGAAGGTACAACGATAATAAAAATCTGTGCTACTATCGCAATTAATTTTTAATACCGTAAAAGTCGGACACGTGTACCCCGGGTATTTACATTGCTCAATTCTGTACCCGGGGAACGTACGTACGTACCTCTATACGGGGGGGGGGCAGTGAAACTAGCCGTTTGCATAACTAATGATTAGCGTTAATTAACAAGTCATGTAACACAATCAACCGTTGGACCAATTTTTACCAGTTTCAGGTCGCGATTCTCTTTATAATTTTTTTTCTTATAAACTTTGATTATAAGTATGCTGCCAAGAACTCGAGACGGTAATGTAAATTCCTCTGGATATTTTGACTCGTTAGTTACATACTGAAGTCTCTCCTGTTATGTTGTTATATTCTAGATTACGATAATGGCAAAAATTATAAATTAAAACGCACTTTTATAAAGGTAAGTCTATATGCTATTAAGCTGTTTTATCTAATTAAATAACTATTAAAAATTCCTCAAAATTTAGAAATTATTCAAAAAATACTTGCCATTTTCGCGGGCACGATGGCTTTTTATTATTATAATATGTGGTGTACTTTATTTTGTGTTTGTTAGTAAATATATATTTTTCGAACAATTTGATTCTCAACAGCCTATCAAGGAGGTTAGTAATGAGGATATTGATTTCATTCTACCGGATTCTGATATAGATCCAGTACCGGATTCTCCTGTATCTGTTCATAATGATTTAATTTGGACTGAACGTCAAATGAAAGTGAAACAAGCTTTCAAGCATGCATGGGACGGTTATGTTCGTGATGCTTGGGGTGCTGATGAATATCATCCAATTTCTCATAGCGGTTCTAATCTATCCAGATCTGGAATAGGTTTTACTATTGTGGATTCCCTTGATACACTTTTAATAATGGACCTAAAAGACGAGTATGAGCATGCTCGTAATTGGGTTGCTAATTCTTTGAACTTCGATATAGACGGTGAAGTAAATGTTTTTGAAACAACAATTCGAGTTCTTGGCGGTTTACTTAGCGCATATCATTTATCCGGTAATGATACGCTTTATCTCACCAAAGCGGTCGATTTGGGTGATCGTTTGCTTGGTGCCTTTTCTTCACCGTCAGGAATTCCTTATGCTTCAGTAAATTTGGCTACTCGAGAAGGGATTGTGGCCCATTTTAATGGAGGTGCAAGTTCAACTTCTGAAGCAACTACTTTGCAATTAGAATTTAAATATTTAAGTTATATTAGTGACAATTATGTGTATTGGGATAAATCTCAAAATATTATGCTTGCCATAGATGATCTTAAAAAATACGATGGCCTGGTACCTATATTTTTAAGGTAAAATTTTGTCATAATTCGAAAATCGATTTAATAATATTTTTTAGATAGTTTAATTCAACATTTTCAAATTAAATAGCCCAGATGATGGTAAATTCTGGGGTGGAAGAATAACGTTGGGAGCTAGAGGTGACAGTTACTATGGTATGTGAATATATATATATGCATATTTGCTCTATTTTCTATTTTAAAATTACATAGTAATATGTATTATGTGATCATTAATTAATAGAATACCTCTTGAAGCAATTTATTCAAACCTCTTGCACTGAATATTTTTATCGTCGTATGTACGATGAAGCTATCAAGGGTGTAAAAACCCACCTCATAGATCGTTCACATCCTTCCGGGCTTTTATATATTGGCGAACTATCTGGTTTTGGTGATGATAATATTAGCCCAAAAATGGATCACCTTGTATGCTTTATGGGTGGAAATCTGGTTCTTGGTGCAACAAGGGGTCGAAAAGTACATGATATTCAGGAAGATATGTCCGATAATGATTTAGAGGATCTTGATATAGGAAAAGAATTAACAAAGACATGTGCTGAAATATATTTCAGCACTAATACTGGACTAGCTCCTGAAATAGCTTATTTCTCTACATCTGAAGATGCAACCACTGACATAATTATAAAACCGCTCGACAGTCATAATTTATTACGTCCTGAGACTGTTGAAAGCTTATTCATACTTTGGAGGTTAACTGGTGATGTCCAATATAGGCATGTGTTTATTCCAAATTATTATTGTTTGCCTGATAAAAGCTCTTATAGAATAACTTTCATTTTATCAGGGAGTGGGGATGGAAGATATTTCAAGCTTTTGAAAAATATGCTAGAGTAGATGAGGGTGGATATACTTCATTAGATGATGTTACTGTTGTACCACCTGAACGACGTGATAAGATGGAAACTTTTTGGCTGGTAATTAAATTTTCATTTTTAAGTTAATTTTGAAGTAAATTATTATGATTTTTTATTAATTATTTTTGGTAAACAGGCAGAAACATTAAAATATTTTTATCTTTTGTTCGGTCCTGACGATTTAATACCATTGGATAAGTATGTGTTTAATACAGAAGCACACCCACTTCCGATAATCTCACCAACGTCAAAGGATTTACAGACTAGAATTAAGAAAATGCCATATTAATTTTACGCATAGAAGTATCTGAACATTTTTATTATACAATTTTCTTGATTTTTCTTTTGTAAATAAACAACCCACAAAAAAATATTAGTATTGGTATTAATCATTTCTGAATTTATCATGTTTCGGCCACAAAATGTTGTTCCAGAAGTTTATCTAACAAGAATTTGTTTACACCATTTATATTTATATTAAGTTTTAATGTTTATCCAGGTCCAGTCATTTGAATGCAAAATCTTATAGATACATATTTATACATTATAAATAAGTTATGGTTGTTAAGTAGAATAATTACAAATAGAATAAATTATTTTATTTGGTACAGTATGATTAACAAATAATAAATGTCAATTTTTTATAATTCAATTAAGCACTATTTTAGACTTCTTTATTAGAAAACCCATTCTTCATTGTAGAATTTAACAATTAAATCCGATTTAGAGATGATATTTGGAATTATAATACTGTATATCCAGACATAATATCCAAAACAATAACTTAAATCTAGATACTTATTATTAAATCCGGATATAATTATTACAAATCAGCCAGTTATAGCGGTATAGGACGATTTTCAATTTAATTTTACATTACATTATTTATACAGTTTAAAGTACTTTTTTAAAAAAAATTAAGCTTACAAAAAAAATGAATAAAAGAAGTATATAAGGACGAAATTCCTTTTTGTTTTAGAGAAGATAGCATAATAACAACTTAAAAATAAATCGAACTAGGTTATCTTCATGCTAACTTTTCTAAAACAAAAAGGGATTTCAATCCTTATATATCGTTATGATGTATTTTTATGTGCTGAACAAGTTTACTTATGATACTAAAGCACTATTCATTATTAAGCATCTTCTCTTCAAAAATAAAGAAAGATAAAATTAAATATACCATTATGATGTATTTTTAGGTGCTGAATAAGTTCACATATGATACTAAAGCATTATTAATTAGTAAAATTTTGAATAATTTAGGATTTTTGCTTATTTTATTAGTAAAATTATAAAAAAGTTATTATATCTCAAAAGTTTACTAATTTATAATACCTTAGCACATAAAATTATATTAGAAAAGTGGTAATATTTTTTATTTTACTTGCATTTTAAATTAGTGAAAAATAAGATTATAATAAAATTATCAAAAAATAAGCTTAAAATCATTATAAAATTTATAAATTAGATTTCCTTTAGTATAGGTGGGCATACCCACCTAGAGTATAGGGATAATCTTTAGTAAAGGTGAGCAAACTCTGATGAGTTTCATGTGATTACATAATACAATAGTTAATTAAAATAAACAATCATAAAATTAAATAAGATTAAAATTTAACTTATGCGTCAATTTGAGTTAAATATTTAATTATATTTAACTTAGCTAGATTGGCAATCACAGATTAGATAATCCAAAGCTTAATTTTTTAAATCTTTTGTCAATTTGTTTTGATTTTGAGTTTAGTAAGGCTTCTTTTTCTTTTCGAATGCTTCTTTTTTGGCTTCTTCATTGAAATTGAGCTTTGATTTCAGGTAGGTATAGTTCCTTTGTTTTTTTTTGGTTTTCTTGCATATAAAATATGTTACTAACACCCTCTCTTCTTTCCTTTTCTCTTGGTTCCTTAGAATTGGGCTTCAATTTCAGGTGGGTATAATTTCTTTGTTTTTTGGTTTTCTTGCATATAAAATACATTACTAATGCCCTCTTCTTTTTCCTTCTCTCTTGGTTTCTTAGAATTGGGCTTCAATTTCAGGTGGATATAATTTTTTGTTTTTTGGTTTTCTTGCATATAAAATACATTACTAACATCCTCTTTTCTTTCCTTTTCTCTTTGGGTTCTTGGAATTGGGCTTCGATTTCGGGTGGGTATAATTCCTTTGTTTTTTGGTTTTCTTGTATATTAAATATGTTACTAACGCCCTCTCTTCTTTCCTTCTCTCTTTGGGTTCTTGGAATTGGACTTCAATTTCAGGTAGGTATAATTCCTTTGTTTTTTGGATTTCTTGCATATAAAATACGTTACTAATGCCCTCTCTTCTTTCCTTCTTTCTTTGGTTTCTTGGAATTGAGCTTCAATTTCGGGTAGGCATAATTTTTTTGTTTTTTTTTTGGTTTTCTTGCATATAAAATATATTACTAATACCCTCTCTTCTTTCTTTCTTTCTTGGTTTCTTGGAATTGGGCTTCAATTTCGGGTGGATATAATTTCTTTGTTTTTTGGTTTTCTTACATATAAAATATGTTACTAATGCCCTCTTCTCTTTCCTTCTCTCTTTGGTTTCTTGAAATTGGGCTTCAATTTCGAGTGGGTATAATTTCTTTGTTTTTTTTTTTTTTGCATATAAAGTACATTACTAACGCCCTCTCTTCTTTTCTTCTCTCTTTAGTTTCTTGGAATTTGGCTTCGATTTCGGGTGGGTATAATTTCTTTGTTTTTTTGTTTTTTTTTGTATATAAAATATATTACTAATGCTCTCGCTTCTTTCCTTCTCTAGTTTTTTGGAATTGGGCTTTCAATTTCGGATAAGTATAATTCCTTTGTTTTTTTGATTTTCTTGTATATAAAATACATTACTAATATCCTCTCTTTTTTCCTTTTCTCTTTGGGTTCTTGGAATTGGGCTTCGATTTTGGGTGGGCATAATTCCTTTGTTTTTTGGTTTTCTTGCATATAAAATACATTACTAATACCCTCTCTTCTTTTCTTCTCTCTTTAGTTTCTTGGAATTGGGCTTCAATTTCAGGTGAGTATAATTCCTTTGTTTTTTTTAGTTTTCTTGCATATAAAATACGTTATTAATGCCTTCTCTTCTTTTCTTCACTCTTTGGTTTCTTTTGAAATTGGGCTTCAATTTTGGGTAGGTATAAATTCTTTGTTTTTTTAGTTTTCTTGCATATAAAATACGTTACTAACGCCCTCTCTTTTTTCTTTTCTCTTGGTTTCTTGGAATTGGGCTTCAATTTCAGGTGAATATAATTTATTTATTTTTTTTTGGTTTTCTTGCATATAAAATATATTACTAATACCCTCTCTTCTTTCCTTCTCTCTTTAGGTTCTTGGAATTGGGCTTTGATTTCAGGTAGGCATAATTCCTTTATTTTTTAGTTTTTTTGCATATGAAATATATTACTAATACCCTCTCTTCTTTCCTTCTCACTTTGAGTTCTTGGAATTAGGCTTCAATTTTAAGTGGGTATAATTTCTTTGTTTTTTTTTTTGTATATAAAATATGTTACTAACGCCTTTTCTTCTTTCCTTTTCTCTTTGGTTTTTTGGAATTTGGCTTCAATTTCAGATAGATATAATTTTTTTATTTTTTTTGGTTTTCTTGTATATAAAATACATTACTAATGCCCTCTCTTCTTTTCTTCTCTCTTTGGGTTCTTGAAATTGAGCTTCAATTTCAGGTGGGCATAATTCCTTTGTTTTTTAGTTTTTTTGCATATAAAATACGTTGCTAATACCCTCTCTTCTTTCCTTCTCTCTTTGGGTTCTTGGAATTGAGCTTCGATTTTGGGTAGACATAATTCCTTTGTTTTTTGGATTTCTTGCATATAAAATATGTTACTAATACCCTTTCTTCTTTTCTTCTCTCTTTGGGTTCTTGGAATTGGGCTTCAATTTCAGGTAGGCATAATTTCTTTGTTTTTTGGTTTTCTTGCATATAAAATACATTACTAATACTCTCTTTTCTTTCCTTCTCTCTTTGGGTTCTTGGAATTGGGCTTTGATTTCGGGTAGGCATAATTTTTTTGTTTTTTAGTTTTCTTGCATATAAAATATATTACTAATGCCCTCTCTTCTTTCCTTCTCTCTTTGGGTTCTTGGAATTTGGCTTTGATTTTGGGTGGGTATAATTTCTTTGTTTTTTTGTTTTTTTTTTGCATATAAAATATGTTACTAACACCTTCTCTTCTTTTCTTCTCTCTTTGGTTTCTTGGAATTAGGCTTCAATTTCAGGTGTGCATAATTCCTTTGTTTTTTGGTTTTCTTGCATATAAAATACATTACTAATGCCCTCTCTTCTTTCCTTTTTTCTTGGTTTCTTGGAATTGGGCTTTAATTTCAGGTAAGTATAATTCCTTTGTTTTTTGGTTTTCCTGCATATAAAATACGTTACCAATACTCTTTTCTGTACTATTATTAAACTTACTTGATCATCTGCTTTAACATCATCCTTATTAGGATATTACCAAATCATTATCTCCTTATTAGGATATCACCAAATCATCATCATTGTCTTTAAAATCATTAGTTTATTATCATTCTTAACATCATCACCTGTTATTGCATTACATCAACTCCAATACTATTGATATTAATGTCTTTCTGTATGATATTATTTGGTTTAACTAGTTTTGTAAAAGTGATAAAAGACACACTTTATTTACTAAAAGTTTATTATTATCTTTTCGTACACTATTTGCTTATTTTATTACAAAAAATAAAAAAATAAATTTCAAACATGTTTTTTATAATTCGATCTCCTATTTTAAAATTCCTTCAACTAATTTTTTTTGATGAAAGCAAATGCATCGATTATACTGTATATTCAGCAAAGATATATTATTCTTTAAACTGTAAGCTTTTCCAGACAAATTTGCCTGGAAAATTATTATAAATATACTTATGATCTATATTTTTTAATTTTTAAAATATTTAAATAAATTTTTTTTAATAATATTTGAAAAT